GAAGGTGAAAAATCTCGTTGGTGTTAACTTACTGGGCAAGGAACGGGGCCCCGAGGGTACAGATACCTAGGGAAGCCATGAATTGTTGTTAAACCAAACTAAATGTATCTAAGCTAAGCACCAAGTCCCAGAAGCATTGGCGTTGTTGCAAAGAAATACTTATTAAAGAAAGTAGTGGATCTTCTCAAATCTGAGTACATGCAGCCGGATCAGCAATGGGAAAACTCAGGGTAAAACTACCAACCTTTAGAATGATGCTGATGAATGGATTTGGTTCTTCAAGAGACTGATTTTGTAGGCAATTAAGTTTTAAAATGAATATCCTTTCATCATTTACTGTAGAGTGACTGGTGTTATTAAACTGACCAAGGACTCAAAGAGCTCATCTTCACTCTTAGTAATTCTGGCTGTGACTGTTACTAGTCATTGTGAACTGAGTCCTTAAAGTTGTTAGGGTCACTGCTCATAAAAGAGACGCATTTTGCCCATCTGGTCTTGCTTCCCTTCAATCTGATGGATATTTGAGTGAGTGATGATAAAGACGGTGGGAGTGGACAGACTCTTAATTAATGGAAGGATGAAGGTCACAATTGAGGTACCAAAGAGGTGCCACCCCAATGCCTAGCTGTAAGCTCATTTTAACTCTGGCCATGAAAAGTCCCTGAAGGAGCCTCTGAAGATGTAAGTAAAACCGCCAGTGGGGTTATCAGTTCAATTCTACTGACAGATCCACCGCAGAAATGACATCATCCAGTGACAAAGAAAACACAACGGTACCTCTATTATAACCTCATGAAGTAACGTGGCCAGACCCAGCACTGTAAAATAATCAAGTGCCAACAGAGGATTCAGGATTTAGGAAATCTAAATTTGAAAATCTGTTCAACTTACCAGCACTCTGAAAAGAAGAGATGACTTTAAAAAAACAAACAAACAAACAAACAAACCAGGCTAATGAAAAGGTTTGGACAACAAATTTCTGTGTTTTCATTTAAGTTAATGTTACCAGTATTTACCTAGAGTGATCCTGAATTACTCCAATCAATCATCGAGAGGGAGAAGGGTATCTATACAAACCTACATATGGTCCACCGGGTTTGATAACTTTTGTGCTTCGGTTGCGGGATTCCTCTTCTGCCTGGGTCATTCTTTCCCGTGTCATCTGATACGAGTCATTCGTTGCGCACACTGTAATTTTATCTTGTATAAATCCCAGGCAATTGAGCTGGGAGGCTCCCGAGCTGTCAAGTAAGACAGTGGCTTTGTTAGAGATGACCCTCACTTTGTACACTAAAAGCAAGCAAGAATGATATAATCCTACAACCAGCAGCCCAAATTAGATTCATAATCCTACAACAAGATTAATCTTTAGATGTAAAGATTATTTACAATACTTCAGTTCTTCTTCTTTTCATATCACCTTTTTTTTTTTTTTTTTACTTCATATTCTGAACAAGAGTGAAAAATTAGCTCTCAGAGACCAAACTCATAAAATTTTGGAAAAAAATAATCAGTCCCTGTTGTGCAAAGAGTCTCTGAAGATGTAAGCGAAACTGAGCAAAAGCTAGAGTCCCAGTAGGGTTTGCAGTTCTGGTTTTGCTTAACAGCCAGCTATTTTTAAGAATTACCTATCACTGATATGAGAAATATTCAAAAGTTTACTTTTATTGAAACTAAAATATGCATGATTTAGAACTGAGTACATGAAACTGACTCAATTCTTTTCATTTTTAACCAAGGTATTAATTTTAAGGCAAAAATACTAGGAAATATTAGAGCCTGCTTCCATGTCATTTGCTGAAAGTTCCTAAAATCTGTAGAATTTATTTTTGCCACTTTGTTAAGATGCTATATAAGATGACCTATTTAAATAGTACATATTAAAGAAAATACAGGGCAAGTAATTTTTTGTAGGAATATTAAAAAAAAAACTGTTTTATTGAAATAATTGTGGATAGTAGGACCCAGAAGATGGCTCTATTTCAATATACTCATGTAAAGCGGGGATCATGGTAATAGCCATAAATGATGTTTTTTGTTTTTTAATTTGCTATAAGACATGTTTGCTTATTGGAGTGGAAGAGAAGGAGAGAGAGAGAGAGAGAGAGAGAGAGAGAGAGAGA